AATGTCGTTTTGAGTACCGAAAAAAGGTCAGCTATCATTTTCGGAAAGGCGATAAGACCTAAGGTTTTCGGGAAATGGACAAAAAAGCCCTAATAAATTCGAAAATACTCAAGTTCCCCTAGAATATCCGAACAGATAAAATTTTTTTAGTGCAACCTAAAATTAACCTACAGAGCTTTAAAAGTACTCCAGATAGCCTAAAACAGCATCTAACAGCATTAGAGAGAAAACGGTCGTTGGGTGCCCCTGCACCTTGTCAGAACGTTGTGCTGCTTGATAGCTTTGTCAACCGTTAAACGCAGTGGATTTCCAAAATGATGAAAGTAGACGTTATTTTGAAAGAAATGATGTGTTCGCTACGTCAAGTTGTATTGTCTAAATGATATTAAAAAAATTATTTATAAGCCTATGATTTGTGTAGCGAATAATCGAAGACTGATTGACTTGCCCTCGCTTATAATTCTGGCGAGCAACAGACCCCGGGAACTCGTGAAGGGAAATCTCCTGATAAGCGTGACGTCATCGTTCTCGAAAAGCTTCGTTTTAGAAGTGTATTTTTGTCTGCACCAAAACGCAAAGCCGGCGTTTTCAAATTTCTCCGGTTTGAAGAGCGTTGTCGAAAAGGCCTTTCTTCCCTAGTGTTAAGGCGCCTTGGCTTTTTGTATAAACCTCTCTAATTTTGATTCGTCTGAAAGATTTTTGTTTGTAACTGATATTTCATAATATTTCTGGACCAGATGGTTTATCTAAACAAAAATCATGAATTTTTTGTCTGACAGATTTTTGGCCACCGGATTGAAGAAGTTCCAGGTAATGATTCAGCCAGAGTTTTGTAGCATATTTTCTGAGTTGGCTTTTACCTCTGTGTTAAACCATTCAAACAGGCGAAACCATTCAAATGGAAATGTTTCCCCCAAAATGTTCATTTTCATGCAAATCAAACTCATTTTTTACACGAAGACTCGTTTTCAAACAGAGGCACCAGGTTACAAGCGTGAGCCACTGTAACATGACCAGTAAATGACGTCTACGATTGACGTATTGTTTTTATCAGCTGGTGAGCGTTCGTCATTGCATTATCAAAGCCCTGTTTCCGATCCTCGGTATGTACCTCGCTCTTCTCTCCTCTTATTTGGGTTGATCGAGGGGGAGATAAAGCGAGAGACCTCGAACCATCTGAGCGTCATCCTAAGGAATTAAGGCGTTAGGGATACCTCAGGCTTTGTACTAAACTCGTTACACGTAATTACACTGAACGGAGAGTATATTATTGAATTCAACCGTCGCTTGTAAAAATATGCGCATGAAAACCTGACTCCGAAGCACTGGGTCGAGAGGGGGCCTTTACGACGAGCTCAAAAATAACATCTTAGTTTATCTAAACATAAGTCAAGAATGAAATAGCAAGGGAATTGTGACCTCACTGCGCTTAAGGCACAGTTTTTCAGTTGTCTTTGCTGGTGAATTTTTACCATCAGCTCATTAATTTCCTCGCTTTCATTCACCTAAAGAGATCAAGCGGTTAGCATTTGTGGTGGGGGGTGAAACCATTCAGTTGTCGTTTGCGTTATTTCTTCCTCAATCATCTGTGTTACCCTTTCTTGAGAGGGACACTGACCTCCGCTTCCTTCTAAGGTATCAATACTACCTCAAATTAATAGTCCGAGTCAGTCTACCGAATATGGATAAGCTCGGGTGACCAATTTCCTTTTAAGTAGATTAAACTAAAGTGCTTTGAAAACACGATTACTAAATTCCGCCGTCAGTCAGGAGCACAATATTGGGCTGCTGACGTATCCGCAATAAGAAAAGAAAGCTCTACGCACAGGAAGATGTGCCCTGAGCTATTCTTCCTTCCTGGGCGGAATATAATGAGGACATAAACAGTCAAAAAACTCATATTAAGTTCCTGTTTCCCGAGTTATTGAGCTATTGTGCAATCGGCTGGAGGAACATATACCAGGTCGAATCTTTTTTTGTCTGTTATGGTTTAGTCGTATAGTAGGGTAAGGACGCAGTCAGAGAGTAAGGATTGCGATCGATTCTCATAAGTTATTTCTTTCAGTTTTTCGGGGAATTTTTTTTTAATCCTTCCTTCTCTTACGCAGTGATTTCGCAAGTCTTGACCTTTTGATCTCGCACGTGCCATAATTCCCGATCAGGACTGGGTACGAAATTGTCCGATAAGATGGCGGGTAATCTTGCATGCGGCCTTTGTGCGTTCTCCTGTTGATTTATTTACTCTATCAAGAATCTTAGCAGGCTAACATGGCTGACGAAAGACCCAGACGGCAACGGGCAGTGAGATCTTGTACGGTAAGTTGGCTAAATGAACGTGTTACACCTGTGCGTGAGGAATTCGTGATCGCGAGTTCGCGCGGAAAATCGCTGCAAAACGTGTTTCAAAACAATAACTTGAAAGTGACTTGAAAGGAACTTGGAAGAGTGACCGTTGTGAACAAAAACTTCTAGTTTTCGCATTTGTTTCGAATGGAAAAAGTGTGATTTGTTTACCGGCGGTGTTTGTGTGAAACTGAGCACTGTAGGCCCTCAAAAATTTCGGGGATACTTGAAGTTACTAGAAGGGCTTCGTCATGCAGCCAACGCCGGTTTCAGCACGAAAACAATAAAGTGTTGATTCATTAACGCGATTCAATCTGACCTGTGTTAATGTCAATATCAGTGGTTATCTTTTACTTTTTAATCTATAAATAAATTATAACAAATACGATATTACGTCGCTCTTTTTGATACTGAGATTGCAGCTGCTATATCAAAGATGACTGTTTCCTAATCGAGTTGAATTACCGATCTACACCAGAGATTGGAGTTCTTGTGCCTGCATGCCTTAGGGGCGAAAACGATAGCGAACCAAAGTCTGAAAGTTTTTTCATAAACAAGTCTCAGATATGTGTGGGGATTTTGAGGTTGTCGTGAGGTGAAAAACCTTCATAACTGACTTCGTCGTTGATTGCAACACCTTAAAAATCTGCACGTCTTTAATAAGCTCACCTTAGAAGAATTTCTTGTTCTTTTTTCTTGGCTAGGAATTTTTTGGAGCAAGTCTACTGCACAAAGAGGAAGTGGAGTTAAGAAGGGCGCTGCATGCATCTCTAAAAGAAGCAAGAAATGTACAACAGAAAAAACAATTAGAAACGTCTGTTGAACCAATTGTAGAAACCCGCTCTATTTGCACCAATACCAACACAAGAATCAGGATAAAAGCATCTGCAAAAAATAAATCAGAAAAGAACCACAAGGAGAATTCCCCTAAACAGACAAAGAGAGAAAAGGAAAAGGAAGAAAGTAAACTATTCTCAACCAGTAGTCAAGTATTAGCCAAATCCAAAAACAAGACAGATGTTGAAACCCTTGAAAGAAGGAAACCTGGAAAAAAAGTTTTGTTAAGAAAAATTGAAGTAGGAAAATGCTTACAAAGAAAGGAACTACAAAGTCCAACAAAACAGAAAGTGACGAAGCCTTCAAAGGGGAAAGAGCTTAAGATTCTACTTCATAGCAAAGCATCTAAGAAATTACTCAATTGCAAGAAGGTGAAAAGTGATAAGAAGAGCAGAGTGGTTCAGAGTTTAACTGAGAAATTTAGTGCTGTGGGAAAAGTTGGTAAGCATCAATCTGCAGCATGTCCTAAAAGAAAGAAAGATTGCAAAGATCAAAGTCTTGCTGAGACTTCCAACAATGAAGTAAAAAAGAGGAAAACCACTTTGCAGAATGCTGAGTGTGTAACAGCAGAACAGATTTCATGTTCGATTGAAGAGACTCAGAGTAACACTTCTGATAGCATTTGTGAGCTGCAGCGTCAAGAGTCAAATGGACTACAAGGAAAACTAAAAAGAAAAATTAAACATAAGCTTAAAGACAGAAAACTTGTAAATCCACTTGGAGAGATCTACATACCGGCTAACATAGCAAAGACTGAAGATTTCCTTACGTTCTTATGTCTCAGAGGTAAGTTAGTTGTCATGGCAAACAGACTGATCCAAAACAAAAACACAATTTACTGACATGTTTTCCAATTCTCAAAACAAACATCAAGAGAAATATTCAGGGCTAAGTATGGAGAATTCATATTTCTAGCTCTCTAGCTAACTTTGACTGTTGAAACAAATAGTTTTTTCAAGTAAAAACTGTCTTATGTGAGGTAAACAGCTTGAGGATTTAACAGTTTAATGATCAATTCAGGACACCAAAGCATACATGTATATGCCATGGATATTTTGTGCAATTACAAATTGACGAGAGAAAAGAATGCCTTTGAAGTGTTTGATGTACTTGACTTGAGTGTCTCATGTTTGTTTCAGGTAATGCCAGTCTTCCAAGATCATTCGAGGTCTTCAACAATCCTGATCCATTTGTTACACAGCCAGCTCACCAGTATGCTGATGAAAGAGTATTTTCCTCTCCAGTGCTCCCCATTCAGTCATCAGTGACCTATTCCCCACCGTCGTCATGTGCGCCCAGTGAGACATCAGCTCCCTCGCCCATGTCTTCGACTGATGGATGGTTGATAAATGATGATTAAGTCTGGTTCTCTGTTATGACAGATGTTATTAGAGTCAGTTGTGAAATGTGAAGAATCCATGTAAAAATGTTATTTAAGCACAATTAAGGATCAATATTTTGTTTTTATCCTTCAGATTGTGCTTGTAATTTGCAGCATTTATATGAAATTTTTCAATTCCACTGCAGAATCTGCTAATGTATCCATTGAGTAGCAAGTGAAAACCAACTTCTGATGTCTGGACAAGTGCTCATTCTGAAGTTCTAATGAGGGCTTTGGGAAGAAAAAAAAAACTTTTGGGTGATGCTTCTTCATATTATAAAAATTAAAATGCACGCTATCGCTTGGACCAAATGCTGTAAAATGATGGAATTCCTCTTGCAACTATACCGTGTCAAGTACAATTTGAATCAACTAGATTCTAAGAGTGAAATGATAGCAGATTTTGGTGTTATCCTGAACAGTTGATCAAAGCAGTCTATCTTTTCCAGCTCATTAGATTTGAACCAATGAAGGAAACCCTACTGGTTTCTACCCTTCAGGTTCTCTCTTCATTATGTACGGGTTATTGACCAAGTGTGAGGTCAAGATGGCGGGATATTGGCCAAGTTCTTTTTTTCGCGTGTTTATGGACTGAGACGGAGTCGACATCCATAAACTTGCAAAAAAAAGAACGAGGCCAATATCAAGCCATCTTGTAATGACTGAACAAGCTTGGTCAATAAAGGATTTATTAAATGGGTTTCGGGGAAATTTTTCTTGCGGGACACGGCGGGTAGTCCCGAGCGGGCAAGATAGCTCCATCTTGCCCACTCACAGAGCTAGCCATTTAATAAGCAATGTTACAGAGTATGCTGTCCAGTAGTACATGTTTTGTGGTGCAGAGAGGGGCAGAAATGAACCATACATTAACCTTACAGTAGGGTTAATTTAGTTTAGATTTTTCTTCTAACCACAAAAGTATGCACATCAAAAGTAAAGTCCTAGATATTTAGCACTGTAAGTATTATTCAGCAGTTTCACTGAGAGTTTGAGGAGAAAGCAGCTGGTTACAGCCATGACTGTTCTTAGCATGTGGTCAGTTTGCTTGGGACCTGAACTGTATAGATTCTCTCGTTATATGTTTAAATTGTTTTTTGAGGTTGCCTTTAGTTTTGGTGTATACAGTGGAACCCCAATTTTTAGAAAACCCTCAGTCCAGCACTAATTTTACTCCTGATTTTTCAAACCAATAATATTCTTGTTTTCCTTGGAGGTTCGAAAAAGGGATTCAACTGTATTTGATATTGTGTGAGAAAATCTAAGAGAAGCAAGTATAAACAAGCTCTTTGAATACTTATTTAAAATGTGTCTACATGCATAAAGGCAAAAATTATGTAAAAATTTAAAACTCAACCGTTGGACAGGTACATATAATCCCCAAAATGACTTGCAATGAATGATTGGTTCAGACAGTGTAAAATAGACTGATATCATGTTACAGCAATTTTCACATAGCCTGATGTATAGAGTGCGTGTTACAAGAATTGAGTATTCATTGCAGTGTTGATTACACAACCCCATGCAGCTTACAATATTATTGTCTATCTATCTGATGGTAAGACCAAATGAATCTTGAGTCAGTGAGTCAATAATTTTTTCAAGTTTATTATTTACTAGTTAGAGAAAAAAAAAAATACAATAATCAAGCTACCTGAGCATTATTCTGGCTAACCTGAGCTCCAGGCTAGCCAAAGTGCTATTCAGGCCAAACAGAGTGCCATAATTTCAGGCTAACCAATGTGCTATTTAGGTTATCTGGAACACTATTCTGTTTTACTGGAGGGCAATAAATATTTGACCAGTGAAACAACTCATTGACTTACGACTCAAACTCATTTGTCTTGAGTCATACAATGTATATCAGGATCTCGTAGGCTTCTACAAGTGTGACATTTATTTCGATTTTTTTACATGATGCATGTACATGCTACTAAGGGTCGATGGTCCCAAAGTATTTATTGTAAAGTGATGCTATTTTTAATACTGAAAGATGTAATATATATGTCAATGATATTCATTTGGTATAATTACTTTTATGCATGTTTAAATGTTTTACTTGATGTACATGTATAATATGTATAAGTTATATATTTCTGATACAACTGACAACATGGGTCAATAAATTTTTCACTTTTTATTAACTATACGTATCTTTATTTTTTCTAAGAGGGCACGGTAACGAATCCTGCAATCTGATTGGTACTTAGCATGATCCAGAAATTTCCTTCTCTGACCATGGCCAGGGAAACCCGTGTGTGATTTGTGTGACTGGAAAAGGCCAACAATTATTTAAGTGATTTGAGAGGGAGGAAGTTATTTACCAGCTAAGGGTCGGCCCAAAATGATATAGTGAAAAACTGTGACCTCGGACTTGAAAATGCTGCCCGAGGCAGCAGGCAAGGTAACAGGGGTAATTGGCCATAGATGCCTGACTGTACTGATGCAGGCTACTTATCAACAACAGGTTGGTCAGTCACGTGTATGAATTGAGGTGCTGGAACTCATCACAGTAGAATGTCAGGAAATGACAACAGCGTCAGTAAACATCTTTCGTAGTTTCTTCTTTAGTTCTGGTATACCGCTTCCATACTTTGCTGACACGGGTATGACGGGCAGAGAGAATGTGTTCTTTAAGCGTTGAATTTCAACCTCTGATTCAGCAATGTCTATCTTGTTGGCCACAATTGCTGCAGGTCGCTGCGACAGCTGTTCCTTGTATAGCTCCAATTCTTGTCGCAAGGACGCAAAGGTGGTTAATGAATCCATGTGAGAAATGTCCAAAACATAGAACAGACAGCGGCATCGTTCAATGTGCCGCAGAAAAGCATGCCCTAGTCCCTTGTTTAGATGAGCTCCAGTTATTAATCCAGGAATGTCTGCCACTGAGAGATAAAAAGAACACCAATAAAACCGTCAGCATAACGTAAAATTCATAATATTTAATAATCAAATGCAACAGACTGGCACTAGAAAATATGTGATGACTGTATAATTATTACACTTGTTTTAAAGTTTCACTGATTGAAAATAAACCGAACACAAAAACCTTTTGACTATTGAGTAATTTAAAAGATAATCATAACCATTATAATTACTATAATTAAGATTTTATGGTACTGAAGTGTGGCTGAGGATGGTTGATTAAAACTCAAACCACTGAATAAATAGCTATACAGGGCTAGTCAATTCGCAAATACCAGTGAGCATGAACTATTGACAACTCTGTGTATTGTTTCTCATCTTATGTGTCATCACTTTTGTACTGGTATTTTGTAATTTACTTCAGACTGCAAGACAAACACTGTACAGTGAATCTTTACACTTGGACCATTGAACTTTAAGAACAAATTAAAGTTGGACATACCTGCAATTTGTAAATAATCTTCAAACTCCACAATGCCAACATGGGGATTGATTGTGGTGAAAGGATAAGCAGCTACCGCTGGCACTGCTCTGGAAATTGCTCTCAGAAGTGTAGACTTACCAGCATTGGGGAAACCAACCTTGAACACAGAATAATAATTACAGTAGTCATGGAAAAATGTGATAATTGTCTTAATATAAATCTTGACCTCAAATTATATCCAAGGTTTTGTAAAACAGATCTTTAAAACACTCAAATTAGAATTATTGCATACGACAAAGCTTGCTGTCTGGCAGCCAACACGTACTCAGGGATTTCATTAACATTTTCAGCAAGAGGGCAACTGGTTTTCACAGGTTTAAACTAAACTTCTTGGATCATGTGTACTAAAGGCATCCACGGTCAAGTTGATCAATACCCTCAATCGATACCCTCGAAGGACATCTCAATCGGTACTCTATGTCCGACATCCCAATCAATAATCGGTTGACACTCAATCAATACTCAGTTGTCACTCAATCAGTAGCTGGCTGAGGTTCGACCAAGTCATATGCATGGATCGAAAATTAGTCCACTGTCAACCGACTGTCGACCAAGATGTCGATAGAGTGTCAATCAAGTATCGATCAAGTGAGGACAGAGGGTGGATCGAGGGTATCAATCGACACTCGACTGTGGATGCCTTTAGTACGCATGATCCAACTTCTTTATGAGAAAATCTTTCCTCTAGATGGTCAAACTAGGTGGGCAAAATCATCCTCACAGCCAGTCAGTTTGCTCAGTGTCCGGTCCTGAAACCCCTGCATGTACTTGTAGCCATAATGTCATGAGATACTAACCAATCCAATATCAGCAATAGTCTTGAGTTCCAACTCTACAACTTTCTCCTCTCCAGAGGCCCCATCAGTTGAAATGTCTGGTGTTTGATCCACTGCTGTCTTGAAATATGCATTTCCAATTCCACCCAGACCTCCCTTAGCAGCTATGAAGGTTTGACCTTCTGCTGTAATGTCAGCAATCACATGTCCTCCTTCCTTCACAACTGTTCCAAGGGGTACCTAAGAAATGGAGTACACAAGTCAACTTTCTGTGTGAATTTAATATGCCATGTTTGGGAGACTTGCATAACAAAGTCAGAATGGATTAAGAGTAATGATTATCAAGAGTGGCAATTAAATCCTTGTTATAATTAAAGCTTTTGATTATTTCTTGGCCTTGAATTAGCACAAGACTCTTTTAAATAATGGGTTTTGAAATCAGAAAAACCAACATTGGTGCATGGGCTTAAAACTAAAGATCAATTAGTGCATCACAAAAGATTGTGATTGTGGGCAGGTTGTGAGTCTTCCAACATAACAAAATATTAAATGAAATATTCACAATCTAGACAACATGTCTATATGGTAGTTATTAAATTCACTTTGTTGGCGCCTTGGCTAGTCCTCATCCATCTGGTCAGCATAAACTAAGATATAATCTCTGTCTTACAAGACATTTTTAAGGAGTTACACTCAGTCTAATCAACAATGATTTAGATAAACATATACAGGCAAAAACTAATGATAGACAAATCCGACGTTTTGGCGACATCTTGTCGCCATTGTCAAGGGAAACTAATTAACTAAGAGTTCAGAGTTACTAATTTGCATAAGTTAGACAAAGACCTTAGCGCGAACTGAGTCTGATTGTACATTTAAACACAGTCGTAATTGTTTAA